TTGGTAAGGGCCAATGGGAAATTTGGCCAGGACGCCGGGGTTACACCCCTACTCTTTTCGAGAAACACCCTGGGATTTTTTTTTTTATGACCACAGAGTCACGACCTCGATTTTACATCTTAGCCAAAGGACAGCGCCTGTTTACAGTATAGTGTCCCTGTCACTATACTGGGGCATTAGAACCCACATGGACCTAATTTTGGATTTGTGTTGAGCTGTGCACAGTGTCCATATACTGTATACTTTATCACATTGCACACTTACACTTTACCTGATCAAAATGTTATAAACTATTTGAATGATAAACTACAAGGGTTTGCAGGCAGTGAGTGGTGAATGAAAAACCCCTCCAATAGAAAGCACACTTCAAGCTGCAAGAAGCTATTGAACTCTTACCCACATGTCAGACAGTGCAGTGTCAGCTGCTGTTGACAAAGTGGTCCCATTTAAAATTAATACCATGATAACTTATAACTTGAACCCATAAACACTGCTTGAGGTAGACTGACCTCTCAACAGGGGTATTATCTTAGAACTTAGTGAGAGTGCAAATGACAGGAGGTCATTGAGCCTGTGTTATTCTTTTGGTAAAAGTTTGGTAAGAGCCTCAGTTCTTAAGGGGACTCAAGAAATTAGAAAACGTTAAGCTATTGAAGCCAAACTACATCTACACTGCAAAAATAATGCAATTACTACTAGCAGTCTGAATGATTTCAGAAGTAGTGTACATCTGAAGTAGAGAGACACAAGAGAGTGAAAGATGTACAAACAGCACTGATGAGCAAACAACAGAATATTGAACCAGGGTGTCCATGATGCTGAGTGGTACAGGACTGAAATATACCACAGACTGGCTGAAATGGATATGTATTGGGCAAAAGAAAGACGGTTAATGTCTGGCATGGTTAGAAAACAGGGATACTGGAAACATCGACACACCCTGAAGTATTAAAACATTATTCCAGAGCATTTTTCATAATTGTCTATCTAGATGTTAAACAACTTCAGAAGAGAAACATTCTGGGTTTCTTAGTCACGCACATTGTCACATAGATATCTCAAAGAGTAATTTAACATTAGTTTCTACAGTAGATAAAACTGATAGGTATACTTCTGAAACGAATTAAATAACAGGAAAGACCCCATAATCCTATATCAATGCTGGCTTTCCTGAGAATTAAGGAGACAAAGCTCTAATTCAAAGGATACTTTCGTAAAAAAAAAAAAAGCCAGAGGATCAGGAATACAGAGTCGTTATTTACAGGCTCCGCACACAGCCCATTCAAGAGCCAAGACAGTACTGTATATAGTGCCAGTATTCACCTCCTTTCAATGTCCCATTTCGTTAAATGAGAAATGATGTATACACATTTTTAAAGTTAATCTTTTTTTAATTCAAACTTAGATGTACAAACTGAATACTTTTGTGGGTGACAAAGGTTAATATCAGCAAAAATGGCAAAGGAGAATCAAGTATTCTCCCTTCTGACTCAATACTTGGTGGAAGGTATTTGGTAGTAATTAAAGCTGTGAGTCTTTTATTACAATATAAT